CCGGAACTGATTTCATGAAAGGTGGAAATTTATTAGACGTCGTGTTCTACATAACTTCTACCTGGAAGAAGGTGCAGAACTCAACCATCTCTGTTTTTTAAACCGGGCTTTCCTTGTACTGCAGAAATAGATTCTGAGAGAACAATGCAAACTTGACCTGAGACATATGAGCAAATTGTGCCTCCTTCAAACGCAATTGCTATGGATACTCTCTCAGAGGAATTGTTTGGATGCGAACTGGCTGACAGCCATCTGGTTGATTCTTATTTCCAAACATGTCACACAACAGAAATAAAATGGGACCTGCCAACCACATCAATGTTAGCAGCTGAGGATGTGAATAACGAATCAGACTACCAGCAGGAACGAGATTTCACAAACGTTCTGAAAACGTAAACATTCATAGACGCACAGGATGAAGTTAATATTTCGCGCTCCTACACAATACATAGCGGACATACTGGCATAGTTGCACTTCTTCTGGACGTGAGGGAAAAACTAAATTTCTTTCATTTCAATTGGCAAGCAACAGAACACTATATTTGATATTTTTTCATATGGTGGATAATGATTATAACAATAGAAATGTGTGCATGATTTTTAAAGGTGGTGGATTTCGACGATTAGCAGGTCAGTTTCCAAACTGTTGACTCATAATATGTGAGATTATCGCATTATTATTACTCATCTATTCCACAGTATGCACCATTCTGAGATTGTAAATGACGGCGGCCTTGATAGTACGTTCGTGACCAACAACTTCGCCGGTGTTCTGCAATTAAAGTCATAGCGCAGATTGCCATTTCTGACAGCCTAAGTATGTGAAACGGGGTTTAATGCAGTATCAGCAGCCGAAACAAAGCAAGCAAATTAACTGGACCTAGGCAGCACACACCAAGCGTCATTGTTTCCTATTAGCCCCAGATGGAGCAGTCTCGTTGCAGAGGAACACGCTCATGGTTGTCCGTAATTTAGCGTTCCATTGACTTACCATATTATATCACTTTATATCTATTTTTTGGTGTAATTGGATTTTATTTTTAAGGCATGCTCAATCACAATTACATTAAAGTTATTCACTCAAAACAATCTGCAATGTAAACGTACAACAAATCCCCTCAGCGGGCCGGGGTACAATTATCAAACGACGACCGGTCCACGGCGATACAAAGGTTGGGGACCACTGTCGTAGAGGGTACCGGCTCGCAATACCCCCATAGTTCACGAGACCAGCTGCTTGTAGTGTAATCCCTTCGCAACAAAATATTACATGTCTACGTACTTGCGGAACAAGGAGGAAAGTAATATAATTCACCGTTTAACATATCCTTTGAAAGGAAATTGCAAGGCTGCAATCAAACATCTATCACATGCTTCCTTCATCCCTCCATTGGTGATTATATCACTCCACCCGGGAGCTGTCCTGTCTACCTCGATCAGATTTGACCTGTGTGGTTCGTATAGGGGCGAATTGTTTGGAATATGATTACCCTTTCCCCCACGTTCAACTTAGACCTGTGGATCCGTCACAAAAGTGATATTTCATGGCATAAAGGAAGAAATTACGTGTAGTGATTGGTATCCATTCAGCTGCGACGGAGATCGTTCTGCTGCTTATGTTATGCATAACATGACTTGTAGGTCAAACGGTAGCTTCTACTGCGCCTTCAACTATCCGACCGAACTAGCCTGAATACCCACTAAAACGAGGCAACCTATCTGAGCCTCTTGTTTAGAGCACCTTCTTATTGTCAATCCAACGTTGTGCACTGTTGTCCTGCGTGCATCACTTGCGCCCTAGCCTCAGACATCTCTTTTGCTCACTTACAAAAGAGGCTTGACTACACTTCAGGCTTATACCCGGTGCTCTGAGCGCACGCGTCTCCCTTCCCTAAGGGACTGTGCGTGCTCCAATGGATGTCTCAGACACCCCCATTGTCCAGTGAGCGCGCACAGCATACTGTGCACCGGCTGAGCTCCGTTTAGTGAAGTCTAAATTGCCGCCCATTTGAGTTGGACCACGCTAGTCTCACCCAAGTCTTACAGTTTTCCTACCCACCTCCGAAAGCGCGAGTATTCTACGCGTAAGTGTTCAGTCTCTACACTATACCAACTTCTATTGGCTGGCAGCTTCTGCCCACGCAGTGCTACGTGGATGTAAGTGCGATGATTATCGGATGATAGGCTTTGCATTAAGGAGGAAAGCTTCTGCACAAATAATGATGGCTTCTGCGCTAAGAATGATAGCTTTTGCACTAAGGATGTAAACGATTGCGTTAAGGATGTTAGCAAGTGAGAAATGGTATAGTGTAATACGGAAAAGATTAAGTGCAAACAACTTTAGCCAAAGTGTGGTGAAGAAGTATACTATACGTAACGTTAATCACAGGACATAAAATATATAAACAGATAGATAGGAATTAAACAAGATAGTGAAATAGTTTAAAGCGGTTTAACCAAGAAGTAGCATGGAGTGAATTTGAAAATGGTTAATGACAGCTAGTAGGAGAGAGTGGCCGTTGTCGTGGAACACGTCAATGATGATGGAACACTAACACAACAGGGTCTTTCATTTAAGTACCTCTGACGCTTCAGTCTCATGCCAGCACTACTCAGGGCGAGCGAAGTCAGCGAAAAGGCGATGGAGTTTCGGGGACAACGAGTATTTCCACGCTGTTTCTTTCCAAGCATCCCACCGAGCAGAGGACAGAGAATCGAAATTGCTGTCTACCCGAGAGACTAAGGGGAACCTGGAATGGTATAATTCAACTCAGTACACAATAAGGAGAGTGTGTAGCTCAGAGGAAAAGAGTTAATCAGGCCAATATGTTCCGACTTCTTGGATGGAGCCTAAGGTATTCATCACGCTGGTGGCCTTATATATGGTGTAATCATGTAGCCCACGGCAGTCTTTTGGTATGTCTGCCGGCTATTCTATCTGCCTACCAGCTACGAAATTTCGTTTAATTTCTCTTCTAATTTTTCTTTCGCTAAACACCCCTACGACAACGTACCAACGGCGCCATCGCGCTTCAATGACTGAAGCATAAGTAAAGGACTAGATTTACGTGAACAAAAAAGATCATTGTGACGAAATTGGACCATAATGTGCTGCGCTGGCAGACGCACCTCAGGGATCTACTGATTTAAGCCAAATGGCACATTTCGTAACTGGATTTTCGCACAGAAGTTGCACCACGTATTGCATCTGACGGTGGGTACTCGATGACCGGCTACCGTTCACCTCAAGACAGACAGCTCTTAATCATTTAGGTACAAACTCACCTGCGGTTGGCTCTCGCTCCAAGTACGTGGAAGATAAGTGGCTCAAAACTAAATGTAAGTTATCCCATCCGATTGGAACCTAGCGGATATCGTGCCCTTCTTCAAAAAGGGTACGTGAAGAGCAAGCTGGGTTTCGCTCAGGTCGGAGTTGCATCGATCACAACTTTACACTCCGTCAACTACTCGAGCGTTGTCAAACATTTGGCCGACAACGATCGTGACCTTCTTAGACATTGGAGTCACATTTGAATCAGTTGACAGAGCTAATCTCTGGAGTTGTCTACTGAGAAGGGGAGTGCACAAGACGTGCCACTGTACTTCAAGCCATGTACACTCAAACCTCGGGCCGAGTGCGTGGGTACGGTGAACATTCGCCCCCCCCCTTAGTATCACCAGTGGCGCGAGACAGGAGTGCCCATCATCCCTCTTCTTGTTCTGTTTTGGAACGGACGAAATGTTGGAGACTACTCTGGAGAACTGCGAACGTAGCGGCGACGGGCTGCTTCCGGAGGACCGGCCTCCAGATTTGCAGTACGCAGACAACATCGCCGTAATCTGCGATTCATCACAGACCGTCCAAAATGTATTGTGTAGGTTGGTGTTTGTCTCCCAGTCTGGATTAACGTCCGCACCATCGCAGAGCAAGGTTTCCTGCAGGACTGGCTAGGCGCCGCTCCTATCCTTACCCTTCCAAGTCATTCATTGGAAGTGGTAGACAAGTTAGTTTACCCCGAGAGCTACCTCAGCGCTAACTGTTTAACGGATGACGTCTCTTTACGTGCCTCAAAGGCTCGGGTTCCTTTCGCTAATCTTCGCCACCTCTAGCGTAGAGGCGATCTGAGTCTAACTCTGAAAGGCCGAGTTTACGATGCCACAGTGAGAGCGGTTCTGCTCTATGAATGCGAGACTTGGCCTGTTCGCGCAAAGGATGTTGAGAGGCTGTCTGTTTTCGATCACCGCTGCCTTCGGAGCATTTCTGGTGTACGATGGCAATATCACACTAGTGATGAAGTTCGACGGAGAATTTTCAGATCAGACAGATTTTGCCGGCCACTGAGCAGCATAATTTCTTTGCGCAAACTTTAGTGGCTTGGGCATGTTCTTCGCGTGCCTACTCATCGTTTACCTCCCCGTACCCAATTCGCGCGCGCAGAAGTCGGCCGGAAGCGAAAACAAGGTGGCCAGCGTATGACTTGGGCTATGACCATGAAGGAGCTAACCTCAAAGTTAGCCGTGGTCGGGAGCTGTTTGCTCCCTGGATGAAGTGTGAAGGATCGGGAACACGCATGACAGAAAGCACTTACGGATACGGCAAGAAAACGTGCGCAATGGCGGACCTATTGTGACTCACTATTCCAATGAAAACTGGATTTTTTATTTTCACCTCTCCTTTCGTTTGTTTGTTGTATTTCCTAAACATTGTTGCACTGTGCCAATTGTACTATTGGCCGTGTTACATATATTTATTTATTTAATGGGGGAGAGCAACAGTGGTATCCCCCACTATAGATAGGGTACCAGTGAGCAGAGAAGCTTTTGAATGATGGGCGATCCAAGAAGGCGCTACCCTAAGCGTTACGTATCTTAAATTTCCAAGAAAAGCGGTGAACAAAAGCGAAGTCCCTGTGCAGTCGCAGGCGCACACATACGCGAGGGACAACACAGACTGAGTGTTAACAGTGAAACGCAGAATGAATCAATCCGAGGCCACTTACGCGATACACCCTGGCAGCTTTTCGTGTTTTGTCCGTGTTCAACATGAGACATCCGTACTCCAACAAGAGGTTTGCATATGTGACATTGTGTACGCCAAAATGTGTCCTATAAAAAGATGTGGATGGATGAGACCATCAAGGTAAGTCGCTGTGAATAGGGTACGGAAAAAGCAGTTTGATAAGTAGATAAAACAAAATCAAATTGACTGGCGCATACTATACCGATCTCAACTGTACCTACGGACGCCACGGTTTTATAATTTACACTGCTGAATTCCACTTTTGCATCCGGATCACTGTGTAGCACCTATTCTTTCTGTGTGAATTGGGCACCAATACTTTTCGTTTGGTGTATTTTACAGTCTGCAAATTCGGTTAACATTCTCTGGCTACTTTCAGAGATTTCATCGATTGGCTTAACTGCAGTCCGTGTCGTCATTTTGGATTTCTACAGTAATCCAACTTGTGTGGAGCAGTCACGTGACCTCAGGCAAACTGGAATCAACGAACAACCTGTCTGGATTTAACTGAACCAACATCAACCGGAACCAACTCCTACCGAACCGATAGTGCAGAACTAATAACTGATTGGTTTGTATCGCATTCGATTATTCTGCATTACATTTTCCTGCAGCTCAAGCACCTAAGACCTAGATTGAGCCGCTTATTTTCACCAATCATCCCTAGATACCTCATCTAGCCTTCTCATCAACACAGTTCGCTTTATCATGGCATCTAGCGTCAATCGATAAGCCAAAAATAGTGTTTAATACACCGCCCGAACAAAACCAACGAAAACTTAGGTCCCGACTAAACTGCGAGCCAGCCCTGATCCCATTGCTACTCTTCTTTTAGAACTCAGTGATAAGGTAAACTCCTTGGAATCGCAACTCCCCAAGATGAGAAAAGCAATAATCATCGTCGAATCAGAGATCACCTGGCTTCATTAGGTTATCACAGTAACACATGGGAAAGTCTTGATCCAGCCCAAATGGGAAAGGCAGGACAGTTAATTGCGTTAATTGCGTCTGAGGTAAATTAAAGTATGTACAGACTGAAAAATGTGATCATTTTTGACATTCCCGATAGACTTAGTTTGGGTAGAGATACAACTGCAGTAATTAGGGCCTGCAGCATGTACGAGATTGAACGCAAATGCCTTCGTCTGTAAAAGAAATCACCGAAACACTGCTGCCCGATCGCTTTTAAATTTTCAACTGAGGAATCCGCAAACCGACTGTTGAGTAATCAGCTCACCATAGCTCAGCGGACCGAATTCAAAGACCTACTGATTAAATCAGATCGCATGCCTTTACAAAGGTCCATTAGTGATATTTCGTCACAATCACGAGCCCAAACGACTAGTTGGATCAAGTGTTCTCAGACCGAAGCACAAAAGGATAACTTATCTAATGTGGCAACTGGGCAGTTCGAAGTGGACCTCGACAGTTCACCTGTTATGATAAGGACTTCGGTCAGCACTGTTCCTGACGATGCTGTAATGTCACCTAAGCAAACGCCTAACAACTACTTCCCGTTCAATGTTGACGCCTGTGAACCAAATAAATTGAATTCATCGTTCCTAAGTGATGGAGTAACTTCTAAACATTGGGAAGAGCTGACTATCAAGGGCCCTGTAGCAGTGTCGCAAGCTGAACACAGTGCCCAAAGGACTCCCATGGGCAGTCAATCCAATAATGTAGGAAATCCACAGCCGCTCACCGGTTCCAACAAAAGATTTAAGCCGGCGATGAATACGGTAGAAAGGAACAAGATCTACCAAGATACATCGCACAAACATAATATGAAACGACATGATAAGCCGACAAAATCCGGAAACAAATGCTTTTGAATATCCTGCGCCGTAATCCACTCCCTTACCACAGAAACAGGCACAGTAATGATGACAGAATGAAGTAGGTCACGACGACAAGGCCACCTTCTATCCCGTCTCATCTGTGTGCAGCCCTTCTCAACACCTCACAGTATGACCCTTTTTAGTACCGGAGGAAATTGAGCCGGGGACATTCCCACTCCTTACATACCCGGCGGTAGTAGCCAACTACCAGTTCTCACAATTTTTGCAGATGACTCGGCTAGCCAACAGCCACACCAACCGCAAAGTTGCTTCCTCAACCACCACCATGTCCACAGCAATAGCTGCAATCACAAATGACTCATTATCCATATCAGCACGCCTGCTAAGAATAGACTCGACCCCACTACTCTCACTCATACCTTCTGCGTCCATAATACCTGACTACAACAACGCCTATAACAACGAACCGCAACAAGATGACCCCACACCCAATAGTCTGTTTTTTATACTGCTACTTAATGCCAGTTCTATTAACAACAAATTGTACTTCCTATTCATGCTTGCGCATAACAAATGCCCACAAGCAATCCTCCTTACTGAAACGTGGTGCTCCCCCGATACATTAAATTCTACCTAAATGATTGCTAATTATCAGCATTTCCAAAAAAATCGCAGAACAGGAAAAGGAGGTGGATGCGTGACATACATACACAGTAAATTGCAGCAGAACTTTTTGATCATCCACAGCTAACAAATGTTCCAGAATCTCTTTTGCTGTCCGTCTCAGGAAGCGGTTTTCACATTCTACTAGGATGTGCTTACAACCCGCCAACTGCGTCAAACGCGAGTGTTGCCATCATCACTCCAACTTTTGAATTGGCTGCTGAGATGTCACACAGACAGAAGATAATTGCTGGTGATTTTAACCTATCAAAGATTAACTGGTCCGCTCAACCATCCTCATATACACATGGAGCTTCGCTTTCCTCTGTCAGAATTGGTGGCTGGATACGCTGGGTTACTGAAGCAACTAGGGCGATCGACCTGATTTTCACTTTGGGGGCCAGAAATTCACAAACAGAGTTAGTAGACAAACTCTCTGGTAACGACTTCAATATGGTACGATTCGGCTTCTGCGTAAAAGTGACCACTAAACGCGCCTTTATTTCGTAATATGCAACTTATAGGTTGTACTGGAAGCAATGCTAGCAATTAATCCGATCATCCGATTAGGACACATTCTTTCTCTCCAACAATGTGTGCACTGCCGTGGACTATCTCTACCATCAGTCCTCTGCTGTCCTTACTCTCCAAGATAAGGGGAGCACACATGTCCAAAAAGACGTAATCGTTCGTTCAGTCAGCTGAAAACACAAGACTAATTACTGGATAGAAAAAGACGGGAAAATTCACCTTGCTTTTATGGTTGCACAACATCATCGACAGGGTCAAGCATATCCAGTTGACGAAGAGGATACACGAAGAACAAATAGCTCTACGAACGACATGTAAAACATAGGATCATGTTACAATTCTGCGCCGCAGAACTAAGTACCATTCCTCCTTAATCGATGGAGTGGTTAATGCGGACGGACAGTCTCTTCATGATCCAGGCAACATTTGCGAAGCGTTTAGCGCATTTGTCGCTACCTCCATGAGTCTGGAGACGTCCCCGTTAAATGCATGAATTGGGGTGCAAAAAATCCACAAACTGTGAAAAGTTGAATTTTCTATCACTACTATCCAACCTGCAATGTATTTCATCAAACAGTCTTTCCATCTGGATTCCGATGGTATCCCACCTGTCGTCACTAAACTGCGAGGGCGTGACATAAGGTTACCGTTACCCTTTCGTTGGAATCAAGCTACTTCCCAGACCAGTGGAAAGCATTGCTCATCATCCCCAGACACAAGGGTTGCTCCAAACAAGAAACTAACAATTACCGGCCAATCCATCACACCCTTGTAATAGCCAGAATATTAGATAATCTGGTTAAGTATGGTGTGATAAAATTCATCACTTTGCTGGAGCTAATCGACAGGTCGCAGTATGGTTTCTTAGACGAAAAATAGTGTATAGCCTGCCAATTACATTAGCTAAACTATGTTTCGGATTCTTTTGACTCAGGATCCGCAATCATACTTCTATTCATGGACATGGAAAACGCATTCGATTGAATGTCCCACAAACGGCTTCTGCAAAAGATTGCCTCCTTTGGAATTCAGGACCCACTCCTAGGCTGTCTATTGTCATACCTGAGTGGCCGTTCTCAGGTAGTTAACATAGTCGACCATCACTCTTCACCACATCCAATCACTAGTGGTGTTATCCAAGGGAGTGTACTTCGTCTGTTGCTGTTCCTGCTCTACTTCAATGACATCAGTGCGGTTATCGAACATGACATGCCTTTCCTATTCGCAAATGACAAATTCCGATGAACTGAAATTCAAGATCCACTACTGCTCATACAGGAAGACCTCCACTCCCCAGAGAAATGGTGTGACAGTTGGATGACGAAGTTCTCAGCGAAAAAAGCTAGCATCACGTATCGCGATTATTCGATACCCGAGGGATCAATTTCACTCAATGACGAACACCTTTGTGTAAAGCTGTCTACCCGCGAGCACGGAATCAGGTATATTTGCACTTCAAGTTTTCTGAACAAGTGGAAGACCAGCTGGATAGGGCCAAAAAGTCAATCGCTAATATACTGCATAAAAACCACAGAACCCCAGCCAGAGTAGAACATTTGAAAATACTCGCTCGCCCCATCTCGGACTACTGCAGTATCATTTGTAGTAGCATAAGGAAATCTGGCAAAGCATCTGGAAAGTATACAAAGGTCAATTACCAAACGTTCGCTAGGCAAAACATTCACTAAGTACTATCGGAAGAGCTGCCAACAATTCCAGCTCGATCCGCCTTGGCTACGAAGACTGAGATATAACTTGATTCCTCTGTATCGTATGATTCATCAAAAGGCACACTGCTATTTGCCATCCCTAGAACTACAACATAGTTCGACAACGGAGCTACGCAATAAGTTTACCCTGAGTGTACTCAGGTAAAGCGTAAATCTGCGGTCTAAGTTTTACCTCATCAGATGTGCTGTCCAGTTGAATAAGCTCCCAGTCACAACCAGATCGTGTGAGAGCGCAACGGCCTTTCGCGTTAAGCTCAGTAAATACCCAGAGTTGGACAAGTTCATGCCTTTGTTCTCTTGGAAGAGATCACTTGATGATTTGTATCAAGAAAGGCCAGAGAACATCTGATGAGTGAAACAAAA